GGCTGATGAATTAATCAGCCAATCCTTTATTTAAATTCAAATGTGACTGTTTTTAATTGTGCTGTGTCTCATGATGAGTGGATGCCAAGGATTGTATATGGTTTGTAAGTTCATTTGATTATTTTTTGAAATTATACATTATCAGATCCTCTCTTGTTGATTTGATTTGATTCTGTGATTTAAAAAAAATACATATAAATCATATATGATATACAATTGTCCAAATATACACAAAACCAGAAAAACCAAAACCAAAACAAAGAAACACAGACTCAACCTAGAGAAAAAATAAATAAATAAATAAATAAAGGTCTGTCTTCACCATTTTTTGCAAATACATGAAACTGGTTTATCAAAACCAAAGTTCAGTCATAATCACTGACAGTATATTCCATTCAAAAGTGATAAGACTGTTAAATAATTTCTACATACGTCAATATTTGGCTGAAGTTCACGGTAAACAGCCTGCAGCAGTGCAAACAGAGATAATAACCCATAAGAATTCGCCTCTGTGTTGGCGCCATGACAACTGGGCTGGTCTAAATCAGTTCTGTGTGACTCGGATGAGTGTCTCTATGCACTACATTTAGTGGTATAAACCTGGCTGTCTTGAGTTTTTATGGTTCATCTCGAAAACAAATACTGATCTCAAACCGAACACTGCGTTCCTATTCTCTGTGACATTTACATGTTGGTTGTAGTCCAAGGCATAAACACATGCAAAAAAATCCCCTTGAGCCCCTTGAAATAAACCTGTATTGGTGTGCAATGTCTGTGCTGTAAAATGTAATATTTGTTTCATATGTTCAATGAACTTCTGTCCCTCTCTTTCTTTTCAGGGTGATTCCTGAGTCTCCACGTTGGCTTTTGCAGAAAGGTCGGGTGGAGGAGGCCGAGCTTGTCATACGTAATGCTGCCAAGAGGAACAGAGTCCCCGCTCCTGAGGTCATATTCAGGGGTAGCGAGTACTTAGAACTAATGGTATTTATTCCACTTTTACTCCTCATGCTGTGGAAGCTCTGGAGCCCCAGTATAAAATATAGCTCAAACTGTGGTAACCAGCTGGTACTATTGGCAAGCAGACATTACACAATGTGACTCTGTTCTGTTTCTTTTCATATTATGTCAGAAAAATAAAGGTGAGGAGGAAAAGACATACACTTATGTGGACCTGATTCGTACCCCGAACATGAGGAATATTACAATTATAGGTGTTTTCATATGGTAAATGCAAACTCATCACTCTCATTACCAGATCACTATTCATAATTTAAAATATATATATATTAAATGCAGTTTATGATGAATTTCATTTATTACATTAATTAAAGATCCCTTCCAGACATGTAGTAAGACATATATACAAGTAGTCTGCTTGGAACAGTAATGTGTGTTTTATATGTTTTTTTTACCTACTGGACCAGGACTGACTTCCAAACTATTTGCAATGTCATAGTAGGCCGTCCCTTAAAATCAGATTTTCAGTGAGCGCAGAGAAACTTTCCACTTTCAGCAGATGAATGTAAAACATCCCTCTAGTGTTAAACTTCATCACATTCATCCTTTTGCATAGAGCAGCTCAAACATCCAACTGTAGGAACAAAAAGAAAAACATATTTTTGAGTGGAGGGGGCTTTATTAAGGTGCAATCTTTATCATTTTTTAAGATATTTCATTTATTTCCATCTTTCCTGTACCTGTATCTTCACCTGTGTTGCGTCCAGCGTTTGTGTGTCTCCTCCCTCAACCACATCCATACACCTCCACTTCCACTTTTCATCTTTTCTTCTTGCATGGCGCTCCATCTTCAGCATCCTTCTCCCAACATATACCCAGCATCTCTTCTCCACACATGTCCAAACCATCTCAATCTCGCCTCTCTCGCTTTGTCTTCAAACTGTCTAACTTGAGTGTCCCTACTAATTTACTCATTCCTAATCCTTGTTACTCCCAATGAAAATCAACTCCACTGGCACTCACCTCTCCTCTGAAGTATTTAAACTCAGCCACGTTTACCACCTACCAGCTCTCTAATTCATTGATCAGATATAGAATATAGGCCGGTTCTACACTGGTGATCACAAACATTTTTCAGAAAATATTAATAACTTAGATTTAGGTGTTGTCTGGTGTTGGTCCAGCCAGATTAAATTTAGACTGACTGAGGTCAGTGTATTATTTAAACACACTGCCTTTCATCTTTATTTAGTCCAATTTTGTTTTTTCTTCAGGATTTCCGTTGCCATGGTCTTCTATGGTCTCTCTCTTAATACTAGTAACCTGAATGGAAATGCCTACCTCAACAGCTTCATTTCAGCAGCCATTGACATTGTGGTGTACATAGCCACTTGGCTGCTGGTCAACCATGCACCTCGACCCGCTCTGCTCTTCTCCACGCTCATATTCTGTGGCATCATGCTTCTCATCATCCCGCTGGTTCCTGAAGGTCTGTATATTATACACAACATTGACTGAATCAGGAATCTCTGAAAGGACTAGAAGACACTATACATATGTAAAATTGTACATGCCTTGTCTAATAATCCCATTTGTGTTTCTCAGACAGGCATGTGACGCTCCAGGTGTTAGCCCTCGTAGGAAAGATGGGCGTGTCTGGTGCTTACTGCTACATTTATGTGTTTTTTACTGAGCTGATCCCCACTGTGGTTAGGAACATGGGATTAGGTGTCTGCTCCACAGCTGCACGCATCGGCACCATCATGTGCCCCTATGTGATCTATTTTGGCAAGTGTGTTTTTCTTTTGTTGTTGTTGTTTTTGTTGCTATTTTTGTAGGTGTACTAGTGTGCGCTGTTGAAACCATAGTAGTGTAAAAGAGAGAGAGAAATGGCATCAAAACTGTAGACAACACTCTGTAGGTGATATTAATTACTTGAGTGAACACATTTAACTTGAAAAGGATAGTCAAGCAAAATTCTCACATCAAATGAACATCGGATTTCTGTATAAATTTGAACTTGGAAACAAGTGACAGATTTTTGCACTCAAAAGACACAAAGCTATCACACCAATGGTTGTTTCATATTTGCCTAATTTGTTTGCTTGATTAGCATCGGTTTTATTTTATTTCCACCAGAAAGTCTGCACACATTGCTCTTCAGATATAATTTTGCTTTCAGAATAAACTCTTGTAACCTGTGTCTTGATAGCCTTGCTAGCATCATAGCACACTTGTTTCTTCATAGTTCCCAAATGGAACAGATTCACAACAGACATTTTGACTTGTTATAGCAGGAAACACACAGGTTGAGCTTATAACATGACATGTAACAGTGAGACGGCATGCAAACACCAGGATCCTGAAACTTAAACAAAAAAATGTAATTCAGTGTTTATTCCTTTTAATATTTACACCTGTGCTTTTCCTACTGTGACATGTCAAAATGTTGCAACCAGTGGAAATAAACAAAATAAAATAAAATAATAATTCAAGTGCCTTTTATTCTGTTTGCAGGTATGTACAGCAGGATCCTACCATACATTATTTTTGGCACAGTCAGCATCATAGCTGCTGCTCTTAGCATGATGCTACCAGACACCAGAAACAGCAAACTTCCTGACCTTATCAGCCAGGCCAAACCCATCAGAGGGTATGTATGTCTGTCACTGTGTGTGTGTGTGTGTGTGTGTGTGTGTGTGTGTGTGTGTGTGTGTGTGTGTGTGTGTGTGTGTGTGGGCGCGTGCGTGCGTGTGCGTGTGTGTGTGTGTGTGTGTGTGTGAGAATAATTAATAAATAAAGACCAATAAGTATTATAAGTATTAGACAACAAATCTCTCAAACTCAGACAATGAAATATTGTGGCCTAAAGATTTTACATAACCTTATGACTACTATTACTGCATCAAGAGCACGTCTGGAGCTTTAAGTTCAGTGTTACTTAGTGATTATTTCAACTGTATTTATCAGATTTATCATAAATCTGTTGGAGCAAAAATGTTTTAGAATTAAATATCTAATCTGTCTCTGTTCCTCTTTGTATCTTAAAGCTGCTGCTGTCCGAAGGAAACAGCCACAGCCCAGTCAGACGCAAAAGAAGGCTGTTGAACATGAACAGAGCGCCCTCTGCTGAAAGAAAATCGCACAGCAAAAGTTTAAGCAATTAAAAGACAAAAGCTTCTCTCTGGTCTTTTTAAACACAGTACAGAATAAGGTATATCATTTACATTTGTGACCTTCAGGTAAAAAAACATTAAATGTACAAGAGGTAGCTGGGTGACAATTTATCAAACCACAATTAAAAAACAGACTTGTTCTTTTTGTATTGTATGTCTTTGGTCCTGTTTAAGTTTAGATTTGTTTGTTTTGTTTTTTTGTTAGCAGGATATATGAAAAACATTTTATGTTGAAAAGAAAACATCCAGATCCAGGATTATTCAATTTGATGGGGCATTTTAACTATTTCACTTTTTTTTTTTAATGCACTGCTACACTTACTTGAATAAGGAATAAATTGCCACACATGCCTCGAGGGTCTCTTACAATGCCTACAGTTTAAGGACAGTTGAATTTCACAATTTTTACATCTTAAAACTATATAATATACATAGATTGTCAATTAATTGGTCAAATAATGGGTAGCTTCAGGGTTGTAGGGCTACATGTTGTGATGTAAAATATGATAACCTTGAAGTTGAAATTCAAAAATGTAATTTTCTCAACTTTTAGAGTAACTTTAACTAAACACCGTCTCTCGTGGAATGGGTGACCATGTTTTTAAAAGTAACAAAGAGAACTACAACCTCAGTTTCATTATACAACCTTACGTTGTGAAATTAAAATCAATAATTGCTTGGAAATGAAAGATAATGGTGCATTTTTAATAAAGTACATGTGACATCACAAGATCCCGTCTGCACAGCGTTACAAGGTATTACGAGAGCCACTTCACAGCTGGCTGTCATCATCTGAAGTATCGCGAGATTAACTCCACAGTTATACCGGGCAGTGTGATAGTGCCTCTGGGCCCCTGTACTGCGCCGCGCCCCCACCTCTACTGCCGATACTGGGACCCGGTGTCTGTCTGTCTGCCTGTCTGTCTGCAGCAACAACCACACTGACACACCTGCGGAAAGACGGGGCGAGGATAAACAGACAGCACAGCCCCATTAGGCTGATGTTTCTACCTTAAACAACTGGGTGGGGATCAGAACAGGAAGTGTTTGTAAAGTACAGCAGTCGCTTGCTATCAGCTAAGTTAGCGTTCAATGTTTGTACCATCACAAAACAGTGAGCAGCTGACTAACGCGAAGTGTTTCTAGTGATGGCTCTGGTTTTGCAAATATTTTGTTTGCCGCTCCGATGAAGTTAGTTCAGCGTGAAGGAATTTAAAAGCCACTTGTTTCGCGTCAGTTCCGTGTGATGCTAATGCTAGTTAATGCTAGTTACCGTGCTAACCAGTACGTCTCATAATTTAAAGCCACTAATCTAGCTAACGTTAACAGCTAGCCTAAAGTTAGCGTTGTAGTTCCCTACTCTTCTAAAAAATTTGCTGTTTTGTTCATTGTGCTGTGAATCAGGCCAAGTTGGGTCATATTTAACCTAGGTTAACTGTCCAGATTAAAAACTGACAGGAAACGTGAAGTTAATCGATTGTTAGTCCAGATAGCATCTAGCTAGAGCTGATCACACACATTACTTTGCCTCTACGTGGAGAGGGCTTAAGATCAGTAGATTAGCATTTGTATCTCGGTTAAAAAGTGTCACCAGCTCATAGTTTGTCCACAAGTGAGTATGGCTCCTAAAAAGAGACCAGTGCCCTTAACCATTGCTCCTCCTGGCGATGGGTTATCCACCTCCACCAACTCCGATGTGGCTTCTGAGTAAGTTATTCCACTAACCACATTAATGTCCTCGTAAATATCTCTAATTTGTGTCAAATGAAGAATGTCTTATTTCTGTTCCGTGTCCTTTTTCTCAGGGCCAATTTAGAAGCACTTAAGAAAATATTGGAAGAGTTGGACCTGGATGAACAACAGAAGAAAAGGTTAGAAGCTTTCCTTACCCAGAAGGCCAAGGTTGGCGAGATGAGAGATGATGACTTCCATCGCATCTGTGAGCTGGGCGCTGGCAATGGAGGAGTGGTCAATAAGGAATGCCACAAACCTTCAGGAATAATCATGGCCAGAAAGGTGAGCTACATACACACTATTAAACTAATGATATGAACACATTCCCCTGATGTTGGCTTTACATCCTCAGCTTGTGGGTTATACACCTCTTCTCTCTCCGCTTTGCTGTGGTATTGTTTTGTAGCAGAGTAGATTAGCAGAGGCGCCTCTAAATTAGTCATGTCTGATGCTTTAGTCATGTAATATTCAAGTTGCTCTCATAAAGCTCTAGGTACTGTACTAGGCCTTTGACCACACAGATACATGTATGTTTTATAAAGTGTACAATGGGACTTCTTCTTTCCATTGGGTTCACCATTTTATAATGACACAACATGACATGTCAACTCTTTGGACAGGTACTTGTAAGGTCTCTGCATTTGTTTCATATCTGTAGAAGGGCTTGTGGCCGAAAGATCACATGGTGGTATATCAAAAAATGTTAATGTGGGCATTATCTAGGGTATAGACTCTATTTATCTGTTTTCTGTACTTCGGTCCTGTAACTCTTATTTATTGCAATTGGTTGTGCGTGCTTTTGTAAACTTTTTGTATGAAATGTGATTTCAACATGTTGATCATGTACTAACTGGTCCTCCATAAAACATATTCAATATAACAATTTTCTTTTCTGTTCAGCTCATTCATCTTGAAATCAAACCGGCTATCAGAAACCAGATTATCCGAGAGCTTCAGGTGCTACATGAGTGTAACTCTCCTTACATTGTGGGCTTCTATGGAGCATTTTACAGCGATGGAGAGATCAGCATCTGTATGGAAAACATGGTGAGAGAATTAGGAGGGAAGTGACTTTGTGGGGTGGTGGCCGGTTAAGGTATTATGGGTATTTCTTTATATTATATATACTTATGGTCAGGTACAGAAAGCTTTTATCCATCTTTGAGACCTAGTTTCCTTTTTTTGCTTGTTTCAAGGATCATGACATTTATTTAATCAAGGAGAAAATCTAAGATCCTCCGGGTCCTTTCTATATGTACATGTTTCAGCACCATAATTTATTTTTATATAACATTATTGTTAAACAGCAATGACTATAGTTCAATATAATTCAAATGCTAATCTTAAATTCTCCTTAATGAGGTTCAGATTTGACCTAATTTGTATGTTGTTTTGGACAAAAGCATCTGCCAAATTAGTTCATCTAAATTTCAATTACCTCGAATATGATTTTTTTTTATGGAAAATGTATTGTGGTAATCGTGACATGAAACTACACAGTTCTGTTCTGGACATTTTCTTGAAGAAACTGTTTTTTTCACATATTAAAAACCACTGTTCTTACCTAGCAAATCATGTACTCGGGTCAAATAACACTAATGGGAAAGATATGATCTTCTGAAATTCCATTTTAGACAGGATGTATTTTAGCAATTCGTATTATGACCTGTATTCTTTTTTGTCTGACTTTATTGTGCAGGATGGTGGATCTCTAGATCAGGTGCTGAAGGAAGCAAAGAGGATTCCTGAAGAGATTCTGGGCAAAGTCAGCATTGCTGTAAGTGTATGGTTATCTTCTGTATTAGTAGTATTGTGTCATATCACATTATTTGCGTTATTGAAGCAATTTATCAACATCCAGACCTTTACTGTATTGAGCTCAAAATAATCAGTGTGTTTCTGGCTGTTGTTTCAGGTTTACAGTTATTGACTTGTGTAATTTCTACTTTCTTTGAAACAGGTTTTGAGGGGGCTTGCCTACCTAAGAGAAAAACACCAAATCATGCATAGAGGTACTCGTTTTTCATGGAGTTAATGACTGATTCTTGTATTGCATTACATGAAGTTTCATCTGTATGCATAATTCACAATACCAAGGTGCACTGTATTTTGTTCAAATGTGCATGAACCTCATACATGTGGACAAATAGAGCTATACAGAATTCAGTACTATGGTTGGGTAAAGAAAGTCCCTTTTGGCTGTATATTGTTGTAGATTTCCAGTCAGGTAGAGTTTGTGGAACATATCCTTTTTGCCTCCAGATGTGAAGCCTTCAAACATACTGGTGAACTCGCGTGGGGAGATCAAGCTGTGTGACTTTGGTGTAAGCGGGCAGCTCATAGACTCTATGGCCAATTCCTTTGTTGGGACAAGATCCTATATGTCGGTAGGTTTGTCCTCTCTTAATTATGCCTTGAAAAGCTGAACTCAATTCAAACCTAACACCAGAATACTATCTTCCCAATTCAAGACAGTGAGCAACATTTCCTTATATTTGTTGATATAATGTTATTTGTTTGTTTGCTGTGTAGCCTGAGAGGTTGCAGGGAACGCACTATTCCGTGCAGTCAGATGTGTGGAGTATGGGGTTGTCCCTTGTAGAGATGTCAATTGGACGCTTCCCCATCCCTCCTCCCGATGCTAAAGAACTGGAGGCAATATTTGGACGTCCCATCTTGGATGGCAGTGAGAGAGACACACACAGCACTTCACCAAGACCCAGACCACCAGGCAGACCTGTCAGCGGTGAGCAACACACACACTTTAACAATTTTCTGTTTTTAAACTGCAATAGGTGACTTTGCTTTCAGGCAGCTCTAGGAGGCAGCATGAGAAAGGTATACCAACATGGCCAGTCTGTGCTTGCTGAATGCCACAAGGGAGAGTTTAGCTTTTGTGATTTTTCATCTGAGCTCTCAGTTGCTGCTGTGGAGGCGACCGTTCACATTTCATTTTTATGTTTTGATTTATCTGTTCCTGTTGGTAGAAAGCTATATTTCTGCCATTGGAATCTAATTTATGGCGAAATAGGAGAAATCTTCCATGTGGAGGATCTTGTTGCAGGATCAAGTTGAATCGAGGCCGATACAATTAGTGTGTATTTAACAGCCTTTGCTTGAAATGTTATGAATATAAAACACATTTACCATGGCTCCTTTTCCAGGTCATGGTCCTGCAATGGCAATCTTTGAACTACTAGACTACATAGTAAATGAGGTAAGAAACTAAGAACTTGTCCAAAGAAAAACAAAACATTCTTGGAAAATCAGGAAGGTGTCCCTCTCAGCGATTGGTTATATGATGAGATGTTCGTTCAACTTTCTTTCTATATTTCAGCCCCCTCCCAAACTACCACATGGCGTCTTCACCTCTGATTTCCAAGACTTTGTGACGAAGTGGTGAGACAACATTTAAGCCTGAAAACATTACTCAGTTGTCCTTGATGTACCCAACTTCATTTACGAGCGTGTTCTTCTTTTGGCATACACATTTAATTCAGTGTTTTGTGACAAACTTGATGGATGAAAAGCTCTCTCTCTCTCTCTCTCTCTCTCTCTCCTGTTATTTTCAGTCTCATCAAAAATCCAGCAGACAGGGCTGACTTGAAAATGTTGACGGTGAGTGTCCTCAATTGGTGTAAGGCGCAAGTTTGAATTTAAACTCTCACCTTTCTCTTTGAGCTCATTTGAACTGGGAACATGTGCAGTATCTTACAGGTTGAAGCAACAAACTGGCACTGGGGTTAAACTTATTTTGTGAACTGTCATATTTGTAAAGTCTGCAGCAGAAAAGTCTGCTCATTTAAATTATGAAGTTTTTAATGTCAAGTATCTTATTTGCAAATGATTGTGTTTGTTTTGTTGCAGAACCATACATTTATCAAGCGGTCTGAGGCAGAGGAGGTAGACTTTGCTGGCTGGCTTTGTAAAACGATCGGGCTGAACCAACCTAGAACTCCCACTCGCACTGCAGACTGAACACACACACACACACACACACACACACACACACACACATAGTATGTACATGTAAAAACATGGAGAAGCTGCTGCCTATACATACACACCTTGTTTGCCACATCCTCCCTCAGGTGAACCTCTGAAGTCTCCATCTATGTAAGCCAATTGATATCACGCTAGGAAAGAGACTGTATCTACAGTTAACACCTTTTTGTGGATATTCAGTATACAGGGATTCAATTATCCATAAACATTCCCTCTTAAATCAATGACAACATCATTTCTCTGAATGTTTATTGGCAACACAGAGAACATTGGTCATCACTAATTTGTTAGGTTCAATTCAGGATTTCTTATTTGGAGACTAAGAAACCTCTAGTTGTTCTATTTGGAATCCTATTATAAATGATATCCTTTGCATTTGAATTTATCACAGGTATTACAACCATGCCTAGTGTTCAGCACTGCTGCACTATTTTACCTTGTTTGACCAATAAACGCCATTAGGCTTTTGTTCAGCCTCCTCCACCATCCTATATTCATACATACTGTTCATACTGTATAAAAACTGGAAAAGATATCCCTTATAAGCACATTAAAATGCATATAATAGCTGTGTAATTTTGTAACATGTCTTTTTCAATTCTGCATTTCAGTTTTCTTTTCCTCCTTTTCCTCAGAAGTGTTCTGGGGCGTAAAGCACGAGTGTGTCAATCCCAGTTATTACAATCACTGTTAAGCATCTGTACATGTGTACAGGCAGATACATATATGCATTTGGTTGTATATGTGTTATGCAAGCACATTGAGAAATGTTAGAATACGTTTATTTTATTAAACAGGTCGGGTTATGTGTGTCTGTGTTAGCAAGAGATGATTGAGTCTAGGATGGTTTTTTTGTATTTGTTGACGTGATTGATTTCTACAAATTTTGAGATATCTTGAGGTGAAGCACAATGTTTAAAACATTTCAGCATGACCCTCATGTCAAGGCCAAAAATAAAAAAAAGTTGCAACCTTAAATGCGCCCTCTGCTCTCTCTGTATGTTGTCAATTTAAAGCAGCACCCGCAGCTTGTTCTGGTTCCATTTGCCTGGACAGAAGCGGTCTGTAACAAGACTGCTTTTATGTCTTGAGTAAGCTGCATTGTGACTTGCTGAGCAGTCTCAGTGGAAACAAATGGTCACTTCTTTGTATTTGCTATAATACAAACAGGACATGCATTTGCCATTGAAGTGCATCCTGTGTTGTGGCAGGATTTGGGCATTTTGCTCCTTTGTTTGATTCCATCTGTGTATGTCCCCCTTTAAGTAATGGTATAAAGATATAGATGATTTTTATGGTAAAATCATCAAAAGCTTTGTCTTTAGAGAGTCCTAATTGTTATTAAATGGTATGTATGACACACAGACATGTCTTCATTTGCCAAAATGATTTCTATGTCTTACACTAGTTTCACCAGAAGGGGGAAGCATATCAGGTGTGATGCACTGAGGACTTGTGGTACAATTACTACTAAACTAAAGTATGCTTCCAAACAGAAATATCAAAATATATTTAGTATTCTGTGTGTGTGGTTTACTGTGTATACATTGCTTCAACCAAGTCAACCCATGGCTAAAAGCAATAGCAGGATAGGGAATTAAAGCCGTGCTGAAATTCATGAGTCCGCCATTTAAATTACAAGCACAATGATTCATCTGTCTGGCTCATGTGTGGAGTGATAATGAAATGTCTTCTTTTCAATGTCTGTCAACTTCAGGCTGCAAGTGTGAGGCCTTGATCTCAGAGAAAGACGTAGTGTTGCAGCATGTGGGGTGGCTAGGTCTGAGCAATGTTGATGGGAGGGGGACTACTGCAGCAGAAAAACAGCAAAGTCTGCAGTCATTAATATGCAAATATGCAAATGAGAGGGTAATTAAGATTGGGCGTTTGTCAGTGGCTCTTTGATTGCTAATGAATTCAAATCTGCAAGAAAGGGGGAGGGGATGATGAGCTAAAAATGAGGAGAAAGAACAGGACAGTATTGTGTTTTTTCTCGCAGAAAATTAGAAAAAGAGGTAGTGAGTGGTCTGGAGGATGTAAAGGCCGTATTGAACAGAAGAAATACTGAGCATTGCTGCTTTAAGGCTGGAATCAAATAACAAAAAGATGACGACGGCCACCCAAAAATTGTAAAAAAAGAATCACACATGAAAAATACATTAACAATTATGTTAAAATGTTCAGTTTGAGCACCAGCAGAAGCCGCAGCTTTTAAGAGAGGGGAAGACGGGCCTGTGAGCCAAGACAATTAACCATGTACACTGTCACTGAGCATTCAGCATGGCAGGCTAGAGCCTCCGCGGGAAGGTAGAGAGATTTCTGCTCATTAAGAGTGATGTGGCTGACCCCTGTTGAGAGAGATGCTCAGGTATCTTGGCAGAGTGTGTGTGGGTGGGTGTGTGTGTGGTGGCAGCATGCTGTGTGTCACAAACAGTGTTATTTTCATATTTTTGTCAAACGGGGGGCCTACAGTTCACACACGAGCACACACTGCTGTTATTGCTGTTTCAGTGGTCCCTTGACACTTGTACATCTTCCTCCCTGGCATGTGAAATGAGGATATGTATACAAGGAATAAAAACAAATTAAATGTTGTGAAAAATGGGGTAAAACAGCTGTTCTTGTCACCTTATGGCATAATGACTTTCTCACAGCGCTGCAGTGTATTTCACAGGGCTGAATACTGACCACAACAATGCCACTGCCTGTGATACCCAGTCAGAAATACACTAAAATATTCATTGAATCCGAGTGGGAGTATGATATTTATATTGAATACATTCCCAAAATGCTTGAGCCAGGATTGTTAAGCACAAACACTGAAACGAATATATTTGGAATGGGGTGATAGCAGCTGATCCCAGCCCCGCTCTGTTTGGTGTGTGACTAGCAGTGGAGAACATGAGTGTGTTTGTGTGTGAGAGAGGGGGCTGTATTTTTCACAGGAAACAGGAAACCAGAAGTCATAACAGGATGCCCCAGGTTTTCATACTGTACCTGATGCGTGGGTGGCTGCATGGGGGTAACCCATTTACAAAGATATAGGTCTTGTCTAGAAGAAGAGAGAGCCCAGGAAAGAGTGGGTGGAGAGGAGGGTACACATTTGGGGGTTAGGAAAATGGAGTTCCACTCTAAATATAGATTTTTTTTTCTGTCTTGCACCTTACCGTACAACCTTGATGTTGTTTTGCCTCCATGCCGTTCGTCCTACTTTTTAAAAGGCAACAAACCAAACATTGTTTGATGTTTTGTGTAGAGCTGCGATATGATCACTTCCATGGCAAATACATGCACCTTCTTTCCCCAGGTGTACTGTAGGAGCTTCACGAGTGAATCGGGGATATGAAACCAGTTTTGTCATAATGAGGTTGATCTGCTCATACTGACTGCTCCTTACCCTGTTGCAAAAGTATAGAGCTGAGTTGTACTCGTACTGCCTTACTCATTTTACTGCATTTGTCTTTAACAATGCAGTTATAAGCATGCATTGCCTATTCTTGGAAAAAAAAAATCTGTGTTACATTGTTGTAACATTTATTTAGTTCTAAAAGGCTAACATGATAACCAATCTTTAGTCCCACTGTTAATGACATACAGGTTTTGTGCTTGAGTTGCATGTGTGCAGGGCTTGCTGAGCGTGTGTGTGTGTGTGCGTGTGTGTTTGCGAACCACAAAGTGGATGGCTGAGTTTTCTCGTAAAGGCCAGCACAGATGTTATTTAGGTTGTTTCCCCTCAAACCAGTTGAGGTTTTCTTTAGAAAGTCTCAAAACAAACACTCACATTAACTGCAGCCTTGTTTACATAACCACCAAAGGTACAGCTCATGAAAAAACAGCAGCCAGGCCCTTTCTGTGAACTAGATGCTGGCTCATGCTGTAAGAGCCTGTGATTCTAGTCCAACAAAAGAAACTAACTGTACCATTACTTTTTATTTGCAACTTTCTCTCTGTCTTTCATGCAGATAAAAACCCTCATGCATTCATTCACACGCTGGAGCATTTTCTAACTGCATTTGTTTATTTCTAAACCAAAACTAGTGTATAAATGATGAAAACGTAATGATATATAGGCCACTGTGAAGTCAATAAATATTTCTCAGGGATGTTTTCATATCATTTTTAAACTACAGATGTTATCTCATTTAACAGCAGTGTTGCATACACAGGTAAATGGTATACCCATTTAAATCCACTCTGATGCACGTCACTCAGTAGTGTTCTGTGAGCTGAAGGCATGACACATAGTATTATGAGTGGATGGAGTAAGGAATAAGGAATATTACACTACAAATGTATAATTACGTAGTTATCTCACCCGTCTGTGGGCCAGTATTGATTTGGAAAATCTACACCTCCTCTGTGGTTAATGTTGATTACACAATGATCCGTACTCCCTGAAGTCGAGCAGCACAGGTTAAGTGACGATGTGCAAATACTACTGGCCAATTTTTGTGTGAGCTAAATATACAAGAGTAGTCTCACATGTCACTGTTTATAACAGGGCGTTTATCCTTCACTGGATGAAACTTTGGGCATAAATTAGGAGTATACCCACTTCTCCAGGCACCACTGCCTAACACTAAACTGAATTAACACTACTGGGAGAAAAAATGGCATTGTGAATACATTATGGTATTGAGCATTGCAATATTATACATAGTTTAATATATAAAGACTTTTGTGATTAGTAGATATTGTTTGCAGGGATTTATTCGTAGCAAGGTCACCCCATAATCTGGTGTCTTTGGCCATGAAGTTAGACAGCATGGTCAACAATCCACCCCAAGAGAAACTTTATTACAATCTTATCCGTGTTTGGCATAACTGAGCATTGTGGTCTCTCTCTCTTTCACACACACACACGCACACGCACACGAACATTTTTGTAGCACAAGCACAGTTAACAGAGCAAAATTAAAGCGCAAGCAACCCGTAGGCAACATGAGACTGCCCTAAAACGTTGATGATTAAACATATTTGGACGCCCCGCTTGCCAATCAAATGATCGTCGTATCCCATTGGTCCTCCCTCCGATATTATCATTCCATCCTCTACTGGCGTTGTCTGTTGGGCTTTCCGCTATCTTCCTCCGCCAGTCGAGGTAGATCCCCGCGAATCGGCACTCCGATCGTTTTGTGTCTTCTCCACAGGGCACAAAACGGTGACATTTTGCGGTATTTAAGACAATCGCCGCGCCGGCACAAAAACCAGCTTACAACCCGCTTCGTTTTGATTACTTCGTTTTAGTGACGACTGGACACGGTTGATGTTTGAGCGTCCATGTCCTCCCGTAGGCTGTGCAGCGGACGGATACTCTGAGTGAACCGACAATGTGGAGGCTGTTAAAATGTCTACTTGGAAAATGAAATGGTTACAATTTCTCTCACAATAAGGGAAACGGGGCGACACGAGAGTTATGGTTTGTTTTAGAAACGTGTTTTTAGTTTCGTGACGAAGACAACAAAGAGTCGAGGCGGCGGAGGAGTGGTTCATATATCGCCTTTCCTCATTTTCATCAAGCCCACGGTCCGGACCACGGGGAGAGGATCCTATCCCTAACTTTGTTTTTCTCTCTACTCCTGCCGTTGATTTCTCCCTGTTGGATGCCACACAATTGAACCCAGGTAAATATGTGAATAAATATACATTCCTAGCAATAATATGCACGTCGAAAAGAAGTTGTGAGCCACGTTGTTACCGGAGTAATGATCAAGTTTTTTAGGCGCATTGGTTCAAGTTGTACCGAGTGTCCACAGCCGGGGAGAAAGCGGGGGTCTCGGATCTTCGTCCCTTCGGCCTGGGCGAGCTTGTCGTGCTTACTACTGAGTATTACTAGCTTAATGTAGGGTGGAAAAAATACTTTCTTTGTTCACTTCGGTGGGCTATAACGTTACAACACATTAGCATAATAGCAGTCAGAGTTAGGTCCCCCGGGTTTTTACCGTGTGCACCGTTAGAGCTCGTATGGAGGTTTTTTTTTCTCTAGCCGTTAACCGTGAACACAGGCGGCCGTTGTTGGGGTTGTTTTAGCTAACTATAAGTGCTGCTGGTGTGCTAACACTGCAATGTCTTCTGCATGTTATCAAGAGGTTAGAGTTTACCTAATGTGTGTAGGGTCGCTATGCTCGTGAGTATAAAACACAAATGTCGTGCAATGATAATGAAATCTTAGTTTAAAGTATAACTCCGGTGTTATTTTTACCCCCCCCTCCTCCTCCCTCCTCCACCTCTGCCAACAACAACCACTATGTTACAAGGCAAGAACCAGCTAAAGCCTCGTTTACTCCATCCTGCGTCATTTAAAATACATTTTTTAACCATTATTTAAATACATTTTGGCCTTTATTCTCATTTTTGTCGCGTTTTAGCCACTAAACTGAAACTTTGGTGGCCCGAGTCTTTGTGTTCATCAGTGTCCCATTCTCCTGCTCGACGTGAGGGCAGGCAACAGGTTTTTTTTAAGGTCCTTTTAAACATCCCGCAGGGGTTTAACCTGCAGATCAGCCCTCGAAAACACATGCTATCGATTACATTGACTGTGTCTTATTTGATGACCAGGTATGGGGGTGTTGTGTGGTTATTTCGGCCTTAAAACTTTTCTCCAAATGGTCAGGCCGAAGGTGGGGGTGCTCAAGACAAGCGTATGCAACTTCCATTTGTTAGGAGGGGCTAAAACACTTATCCCCCATTTTGACCTCAGCTCAATGAGAGACTGGAATTACTAGATTATGTAGTGTCAAAACATTTTGGCTTGTTCTTATGTAATAGCACATTAGTCGTTACTCTTTAATTGTGGGAGTATTACCAGTTTTAATTGTTTTTCCCGTTAGACTAGAACGTAATGGTTTCTTCCCTTTTTAATGCCTTTAGACTCAGATACAGTTGTTATTTTAGAGTTTACACTGTACACACACTGATTTCTTTGTGTTGTCTTTGTCACAGTATTACTTGATTATAAACAAAGTAGGGAGATTATTTCCAGGAGGAGTAACATTCGTATTATGCACAAGTAATTGTATAAACATTTACTTAATTTTAACATGATATATAATGCTTCCATAGTTTGAGTAGGTTACACAACTGAAACTAATTGACTTTGACCAGTTTCTAGTGTATTATTTTAGACTGAAAGTGAATCTTAAGTCATACCCTGAAAATGATACTGAGTTATGTGAGTGGGAGCAGTGAAATCATCTGACAAATGCACTTCAGGTCCTGAGAAATATCCGCCCCCTCCTAATTGTTTAAATTGTTTAAGATACTCAAAGGGGTTGTTCACTTGCAACAACCCTATGGACAAAATAACAGGAACCAATAGCCCAATGCAATAGATTATACAAATTGCAATATCTCATAGTGGTCAGCTTTTGTTGATTGACTGTAAAAAGTATTCATTTAATCCTATAGTCATATTTGAACTTATAGTATGATGTGTTATTTATTATTATTGTCCGTATTGCTGACAGATCTCAGCACCCAATGGTCTCTTTTGGCAAACATAGTTTTCATATGTTTTTATTTTTTGCATTGCATATAATTTTGCAGTCTTTGAAATTGATGTAACAATGAAGACAATATTTCTGGTACTCATAATAAATTAGATACCTTGTATTAACATTAATAGATGTTTAGTAAAACATCCAAAGCCAGTTTCCAGGTAAATGTACAGAGGAACAGAGGGTCTGCATTGTTCCTGAACACTGCAAAATTATTTAAAGTGACAAAGTCTCAAATATAATGACAGCATATTCCAAACTCAGGAAAACTACATTATTTTAGCAGTACAGTGGCCACAAGTAATCACTAAATGACACCAACTGAAAGACACTGTATGTGTTGTGTATATCTGCATGACATGACCACAAACTCTAAATTCAAACAACACCTTTGACTACAAACACTATTACTATTTACTGCAGTGCTTTTGTATTGCAAAGTGTCACTGCTGATTTGCCCACCACATGTAAAAATGATAGCTATTTAAATGTTTTACACACATAGGCTATATTTTCTTTGATACAGGGAGGTCATATAGTACATTGCCTATTTGAGAGTCCAGATTGTCGTGTTATTACTCTGAAAGTTTTTCAAAAGGACTGTGAGAGCAGGTTGACTTTTGAGGTAGAGGAAGCTGCCATGTCCAAAGCCTGACCAACAACCAGTGCAGTGTGGCCTGTGGCTGAGCCATGGTCACCCATGTCAGATGTGGGCTACCAGGGGAAACTCTTAGAACTGGCGGCATCTTGTAGTACTTGGTCACTACTCTGAATGAATGTGCTACTAGACTGGTAATTCTATCTTACAATGTAGGGATTAGTTATTTGGGTTTAACTGTACCATTGGTTGAAATGTTATCCAAGTCCTAGTAAGGTCAGGCTTCTCACACATTGTTTAATTGAGTTCTCACTGTCTTATTGAGCAAATTGCATGTTTTTGAGTCATCTACCTGAATTATTATCTAATAAGAATTGATAATAGATTGACATTGTGATGTTAGTCTAGACATTGTCAGGAGGGGTGTTATTGTAATATTTCCTGTTCATAATGCAAGATGTTTTTTTTACAATCTCAGTCTTACTCTTATAATTTTTGACATCCTTCCTGTTGGCCTCGACCACATTTTATTTACCAGCTTTATTGTTGAGATATGGGACAAAACAGCACCATCAGACACAACTTTACAAGGGAAGAGGCAATAACATGGGAACCCAGGCAGGTTTAAACAAGTCTCCTGCGTAACTATATTATCTCAACCACTTATTTGTAAGTGAAAAGCAAGACACTTCTACTGTTCAGTCGCCTGCTCCCTTATCTAGCTGCTTACCTGCACCTCAAACATGAATGTTCACTGGTTGTTTGGAGTGGACGGTTTGGGTAATAATTTCAATGTTATCCTTAATTTGAATTGTTGTTGCCCTACATGTGCATAGCCGTTTCTGGTGGTGCTGTGTCCCTATGTCTCAGCAGCTCCAGCCCCAATATATATTGCACATCCCTAGCTAACCATCTTACAAATGGAAAAATATACTGATATTCTTCTTACTTCTGCTTGTAGTCGCTTGCTAAGACTGAAAGGGCCAAGTGAACAGCAGCAGAGAATGGCTGCAGTGGAAACCGACAAGGAGCTCAACGACTTGCTGGATTTTAGCGCGGTAAGATCTCTCTGAAGATTGCTTGAGTATACTTACTGTAAGGGTCATTCTATGCTTATGTTACTTTCATATTTGGTCCTGAACAGTTGTCATGTGGGTTGAAATGTGAATGAATATCAGGGCATCCATGAGGTCAGTCGGTCAGGGTTTGAAGGATTGCAGTGCGATTACATCAGCCACAATTTTAAGTGTCTGTTGTTCTGTCACTTTAATTTTAGCAAAACTGGAATGTATAGATTGTTTCATGTAGCTGTTAGCTAGATAGAATAGGATGCAAGACAAGATGGTTTAAATTACAACCTTATATACCTTTTGCACAAGAGAAAAGATTACAGCACAGTAAAGTCTTAGATGGACTGTAACTGTTAATTTCTATGATTTCAGATGTTTGAGCCTCCAGTTTCAAACGGCAAGAACCGGCCGACTACTCTCGGCAGCAGTCAGTTCGGAGGTTCAGGTAAGATGAAAAACCTTTTCTTTCTTTTTAAAAAAGATTTTCCTTTTGTTCTTTGCTTCCAAACTACAATATATGCTCTATTCTTAAGGATCAGAGTTTCTTGATTAAATAAATAAATGTTAGGACAAAAAATAACATTTCACTTTCTCTCACCTAATGCTAGTGTTGAAATGTACTTATTGATGTGTAATGCAGTAAGCATGACAATACTGAGCTGTTATAGCTTCTTGTCGTCTCACTGCTCCACCCACATTCATTCATGGTGTTTTGAATGGTAATACAAAAGGAAATTGTTCCTTTTCTCCACTTTTTCTCATGAATTGTGTTTCCGATCACAGATTACTGTAAGAAACCTCAGGAAAGATTGCCAGGTTACTTTATGTTATGTAGATCAAGCGTCAACTCCTCTACACTTCCTCATCCTCGCCTTGCAGGTGTCCCTTCCCTCACCTTCTCAGCTGTTGCCATTCAATCACTTAAGGACAAAGGCAGAGGGTGGGGGTTTATGGGAACAACCCAATTAATCTCCTCTGCTTACCTTTTGACCAAGTTTATACCCTTGTCCTGCAATCTCGCACCCTACTTTTCCCTTCCACATAGCTCATTTTCACCGAGCTATTATCCATTCTCATCATCAATTTTACCTATAGTCAGTTTGAAGACATGCATGCAGCTCACCATAAACAAACAGCCCCAGAGATCCTCAAGATAAGACTTTCCTTTATTTTGTGGGAGCTTTTTTGTATTGCTGTGACACAAAAAGTGGTTGGCTTTTAAAAATGTCTGCCTGTCCGTCTCTTTTCCTACTGAAGCCGATCCTCTTGCTCCACATGAACCTTTGTATTTCATCCTCGTATCTCTAGAAGTGCAGTAGGTCTTTCGGCTGGCAATAGAAATGAAACAGGATATTGAAGCTAAGATGAAAGACAAGGCAAGTGGTGGCGGGGTGGAGTATAGGGGGCTCTATTTCTTCTATTCACTTGAGGGCCACTTACATGTTCTTTTGTCACTGCAAGGTGTGTGCTTACAAAAAAGACACGATGTTATCAATACAACGGCTGCTCATGGTATTGTCCCTCAACCTTGAAATTAAACTTCCCCAAAAATCTATCCTTTTGAGTATCAAACACTCGCCCTTGCTGGCTGGAAAAATGTAGTAGTTTGGGTTTTCATGAAGAACAGATACTGTGGTCTGCTTGAGTTCATGTTATTTGCAGTGTATTCCCATAGTGACACATTTTCACAGCAGGAAATAGTTTGTAGTTCCTTCATGCTACACACATAGAAAGAGATAATCAAATTGATGTAATAACATTAAAACAAGATAAAGAGTTATTTATATGCATATCTACATACATGTGTATATATACCCATGAAATAATTCTACAGTGCATCTTTTGAATTTTTGTCTGGGCAGCAGTAAACAGCAGTAACGACGCAGCTTTCTTTCAAGAGTCATATAAGATCACAACCAACCTGATGTCTGTGCCTTAACTAATAAGCCAGAGCCAAGAAGCAATAAGCCTAGCTAGCATCAACACTGGGAGGAGGGGGAATGGATAGCCTGGCTCTTTTTGTAAAATTCAAAAACTCCCCAACCAACATCTCTAAAGCTTACTAGTTGTAGGATTTAGGGGCATCGAGCGGAGTAGGAGACCCGCAGCGTCTGTAAATATAAAAGGCTCATTCTAAGGGAACAAAAACAGATAAGTCATATATTCAAGTGATTATACACTAATGAAAACATAACTATGAATATTATATTCCATTTCTGCCAATAGAGCCTCCTAAATGTTACACACTGGACCTTTTAACAAGTTTTATTTGTTTGTTTGATCTGTACAGAAACAATCCATTGCTAGATATTCATGTAGCACACATGGGTAAGAAAAATGCACCTCAGTGTGCAATTTATGTCACTGTCTTGTGTAAATAGTTTCCTGCTTTTCTACTTACTTAAAGCTGTGCTTTCATAAAAATAGTTTCAAAGAACCTGACATGGCCAATCTGTATTCCTGCTTTTTGTGGAGCAGCTGCCACGTGTTTTCCTTATAGAGTCAGTCCTTTTTTTCCTCCCAGTATGGTTAAGGTTTGGGATATGTGAAGGTTCAACATGTGTTGCTGTGGGGAACCTCCCTTTTAGAGCCTTCAGTGATGATAATGTCTCTGCTCTGGTCTTATGTGCCTGTTCAATTGCTGTCACTAGTCAGTTAAAGTAATTTTCAGGGCACTTTCATTTTTTGGCCTCTGGAAACCGAGAATCCTAAAATGTATTTTTAAAGTTTTGTATGGGCTGAAATGCAGAAGGGCAGAAGTTTCATATTTGCATGAAATGTTCCATTTTCAAACAGATGTATTAGTGGATCACAAAGACTGACGGATGTTAAACTCACAGGTAGAGTTGCTGTTTAAAATTTGAATTCCTGGCATATTTTGTTGTTGAAGTGTATGTAATTTCACACAGTGTCAGAACTAGGGCATTCACAGCTGTATATGTTAGTGAGTTAGAGTGCACTTGTGTTTGAGAAGTTACTGGTGACTCACAGGTTAAAACAGCCAGGATCTGTGTTATTGTACATTGTTCAGTATTTCATTAACAGTGTTCACTCTCTTGGGATTTGATCTGACATCATGCTTTGTGTCTGTGTGACTCACTTTGCCAAGGGAAGGAAGAAGGTGTGTAGACAAAACGGCACACTCAGTTATAGGTGCCTGGAGCTGTGTGCCTGTAAAAACCAAGACATGTCTGCAAGTTTGGTCAATGTATGTGCCGGAGTTTTGCTCATGAAGCCTATGACTCAGGCTGGCTGTCTGTTCCCAGTATCTCTTCCTGTGTAATTATAGACTAGCCATGCTTAAAGGGGCGTTGCATGCTGGGAGGAGAAGTGCATTGGGGTTCACCAGAGAATTTGTCTGATGTTACTCACCCATTTCTCTTTCCAGTCCTTGTAGCCTGTCTGAGTCGTGCACTACTCATGGTTTTCTTGTGGTTTTGGCACTTATTGTGGCCCTAATGGAAATCATTTGTAAAAATTACCCACGGTTCTGTACCATTTTGTCATTCAAAGTGAGATTTAAGTTCATACTGCTGTTTAAATCTCACTTATACATGATAATGACTGTTACTGCAACAGCAGTGTGATCTGCTGTATCTTCCCCGGAACTCTACATTATGAACTGTGCTGGCCTAGGGGGCAAAAACAAAAACTATAATGTGTGTGAATAAGATGAAGTTTTAATAAGGTAAAAGAAAAAGCAACACATCACAAACTGAGAAAAACAATAACTTGACCAAAATTGATAGTGAGGAAGAGGAAAGAAATGTAACCAAGTGCAGGTCTGACCAAAAACATTGTGCTCGTTTAAAACATAAAAAATGCGTGTTTCATAAATTATTTGATAATGCTTTCATTATAGGCAGGGTTATAGGGGCATAAGGGGTATGGGCTTGTGTTTTGTTATTTCAGTTTTATAAAGAACAAAGACAGAGATATTGATACATCTTGTCTGTATTATTGATGAGATTGTATGCGTGCTATGGTCCTTGTATGAGTGCATTCTTCTGTGTGATGTTCCTGTATCAGTACCAAACTAAATGGAAATTGAAAAACAGTTTGCTCATATTGGGGGGAAAAAGGGCCACATTCTGTGGTCTGTTAAGATGATGACTGTTTAAAAGTATTTACTTTTCATGCAGAGTAAGGAAACTTATTTATCCTACCACAATAAGGGATCACACCAGCAAGGCTCAAAAAAACAACTTAAAGAGACATTGTAATTCAGAGGAGAAAACCTGGCATGCCTAGTTTTTCTGGACCATATTGGTAAGATACACTAAGGGACTATACCATTTTCACATATGCCCTCATATACACTGGTCCAATATCAGCCAACTGAAAGTGTCTTCTCTCTACCAATCAATCTGAAATAAAGGCATCAAAGGTGTATTACAAGTCACCAAAGTAACATAGTTGCTACACTGAGTATGTTCAGGTGATCGAGATCTATCATATGTGTACATGTATTGTTTTATTTGTATTGTTTTAGTCTTACACAATAGATGTTTATGTAGAGGGAACTGATTATTAAAGACATTCATAAAAATACACAATGCAGTGACCAGAATAATGAAAACCCATATATAATCATACGGTTGTTTTTTTAGTGTTTAACTTCATTTAAGAGAGTTGTCAGGATTCATAGAAGCAATTCTGAAAACCAGCTCAGTTATGTTCATCGGTTTATCGTCAGATCAGTTAATTACAAAGAATATGTCTGTTGATTTACATCAATTTAAATGACTCTTTACGCCTCTTAGTTCATCTTATGTCCACTCTCCCATGTCTTAAACATTTATCCCATAATTACATTTCTTTCAGGTGTGAATATTCATGGTAATCCTCCTATTATTTCTTCCACACAATCCACTGATTCCATTAAATTGGTTTACAATTTCATACACAACACCTGTTAACCCTATAGTTATGTGCCTTGAAAAAAGACGGGTTATAGAGTTAGTTTAGTGGTATATACATCCTGCTCTTAGGTGGAATGAATGGTGACAATCTGTTTCTTTTTACTGGTGTCTTACAATTCTCAGTCCTGCTAAAGAGGGAAAAAATACCACATGTTCGTCTCGCTAATTAGCTTTGAATCTTTATTTTTTTCAGAATGTTCTGATATGCTACATGGTTCTGAATCCATGGTAATAATGTAGGTGTGTGGCAGATGCAATGTAACACTTTTGTTACAATAGCCCCAAAAATGTAATCTAATTCCACTGTAAGCTTACATTTTATCTGCTAGCACTGTTTGTTTGACACTGTAACTGGCTTATTTAAATTTAGTATGAGTAAGTAAAAAAGACCCCTTGAATATATAGTTTATTATGAAATTTTTCTGTCAGTTTCACTGTCAAAAACAAACCTACTTGTAATCCACATCTCAACAAAAGTGTAACGCAGTCACGAACACAAAACATTGAATTGGAGCCTTTTCATGCCCGGAGCTTGGGTACTGATGACTTACAGCGGAAACGAATGGTTCATGCATTTTCTTTATCGTCTGTGATTGACGTGGAGAGTGACAGTCAGTCATAGAGAGGGGACAAGACATTGTCTCCTTCATCTCTTATTCTGCTGGTGTCGTGTGTATAGATCACAGTTGTCACGGCAATCTAGCAGCTCTCAGCGCTGTGGACCCATCATTCTGTTCTACTGCTGATCCTGTCATGATTCTAGCCCGCCTCTACCCCCTCCCCTCTCCCCTCTCCGCTTTTTAATTAGACAACAAAACAAAAATATGAATATTCATAGAGCTGAGCTTCATTAATATGCACAATTATGCAAATCAGTACACAATTAAGCCTCAGCTTTCCCCCAGAGATGCTGTGTTGCAGTACGAGAGAAGATTGAGAGAAAGGGGACGGGCAGGAATTTCTGCTTCACCAATCTTTAAAATCACTCCTTTCAAATACATTCACCTCTCTGAAAGCTGCTGTGCTCTGGCCTTGGATAACGTGTGTCAACTATGTAAGATTGAGACCTTGCGTCTGTTAAGGCGAAGGTGTAGGCCAAATGTGAGAGAATGGATGGGGGATGAATGACTGTTGCCATGGAAAATGTAAAGGAGTGGAGTGGGAGAATGAAGAATGTCGAGGATGATTCTGGGAGCCTCATACTGGGTGTTAATTATTCAAACTTCCTACAGCTCATATCCACGCTATGTGACAGTGCTGTCACTATGCTGTCTCTGTGTGAGCTGTGAAGTGAAGCTCTTCAATGGAGGTTACTTTGAGCAGCATGAAAAACCTGTATCAAAGCAGGTCAACTTCATCATTCTCTGAAGTTTGACTTAGTTTTGCAAAGCATAAGCTTAAATCCCTGTTATGAGTGTGTCAGCCTTTAGTAGTTAATAGGCCTAACCCAGTTCTTTGTCTTCCAGGTATAGATGAGAGGAGTGGGTCCAGTCCCTGGGCGCAAGGACAACAAAACAGTCCATCTTTCAACCAGGGAAGGGTACGGTTTATCCTCACTTACTACATTGAATCTGGTCATATAGACGTCATGCTATTTAGCTTGAGTGAAAGACAACATAGGTTCGGGTGATCATGTCATTTACGCCCCATTCACACAATGTACGACATGAGATGACGTTTTCAACCTGCATTTGACCGCTGACACAGCACCACTCTGGTCATAGGTCAATAGTGAGTTGTCACCTGGTTCCACAGCATTAGTTTAATACACTGCCAAGACCCTGATCTATGAACAACAGCATAAACACATTCACACTGATAAAATAATGCCGGTGTCACACATTACACAATATTATGAAGATTGTATTTCTAGAGGGAGTTCTATCACAAACATAAGTAAATGCTCAAAAAGCCTTAATGGTATACATCTAGATGTGTACTAATATCAAACATCAACAATTAAAAATGGACGTAGTCTCCCTGTAGATAGTAGATAGTTTCTGAAGTGTGGTGGCACTGGCCGTCGATCCAAAAAGTTAGCAAAGACGGAACAGTTGTCATGAACAGGGAATTTAGCAATAAAGATTAAAACAGTTTTTTGTACCAGGCTGTAAACATGTTTATTTCCGTTGTAAATTTGGGCCTTTATGAGGCCTTAAGGAGATCAATTACTTCTGTAGACGGCCTCAAGTGGGCGTTCAAGGAGCTGCAGTTTTTGTTACTGCACTGTTGGCTTCGCTTTCCAACCATGTCAGTTGCTGCTTGAGCAGCTCAAATTTAATCTACTATCAATTTTAGAGGGGTTACTCCCACTCAAATGACCAGATTTTCTGATCCTAACATTGGTATTGACACGTCCCAGATATCAACAACAGCATGGGTATCACTTGGGAAGATTAAACATTATCAGTGGTGCAGACTGTGTACTTGACCGATCTACCAAGATTTAATGTTTAATTTGTACATCTTATGAAAAGGCAATTCCATCACATATTCATCGTTTGTGTGTTAATAATGAGCTTTAGTTAATTGTATGTAGTTTGTTTTTATTTCCCTAATGCATCTGCTGTCTTTCCCCATAGGCTTATGGAGAAGAAGGCCTTTACAGTGAGCAAGAGGGCATTGCCTCTGCCCCCATGTTTGGACCAGGGATTGTTGGTAAGAAGCTTTAAATTGAACTAAGCACCGACACCACAACTTTCACATCATCTTTTTTTAAAAGCCAAAGAGAATCGGGGAACTTTGGGTGATTCTAATAATAGGCTTTAATGACAGAAGAATGTACCGATTTGAAATACGGAAGTTTATATCAATGTGACTAAACCAAAACAATGAGTTGTTTGTTTGGGAGAGCAAACCGTTCACAGGTTAGAAACTAATATACCACTTTAGGGCAAATCATATTTATCCTTAGGTGGCAATGGATGAAGGGAGCAGGGTAACCAGGGAGGATGTGGAGGAGGGGTCTGTTCGTGTGTTGCAGTTTGTGTGCTCTGGCCGGGAGGGGGTTGGGGGGGATGTAAAGGGCACCCATGCACAAACAAGGCTCTCCCTCGGGACTACGGTGGCCTGTAGCTCTCTACTGTTTAACTGTCAGGGGAGGGGACAGAGGTTGGGCACAATTGCCCTGAACCATTTATAATGGGCCAATTTGTTGTTGTTTTGCTGTCCACAGCCATAAATACCACACATCATCATATACACACAGCAGATGGGAGGCACCCAAATGGAGAAAAGGGAATGGCCAGATTGTGATTTAATATAGACATAAAAGCCCAATTTTCACGATCATGACCTGATTTTATATTCCTTTCTCCTAACAGGGAAGGCTGAACGAACACCATACTCGTCTTTTGCAACACAGGTAAATCAGTCGGAAAGGAAGGGTTTTTGCTACAATATTTCCTTCTTTCTTCATGCTCTTTTGGAGAAATTCTGTCCCTCAGCCAGTTTTCTTTTCCTGTATCTTTCTGAATGAACTTCATATTTATTTCTTTTGGCCTGTGCTTTTACACTTCTGCTCTGTAGCAGGGCTTTATGTCCAGTGAGATACCCATGTCCAGTCCCAATGCCATCTCCCCATCTGGCCTGAAGTCCAACTCCCAGTTTTACTCCTCTTATGAGGGAGGCAACCATCGCAGGAGACCCTCACAGGACCCCATTGGTAAGATTGTAAAGGATTGTTTCAAGCACAGTGTTTAACGCAGTCATAGGATAAATCTCGTCACAGATATGTTAAAAAAAATAACTTTTTTGCAATTTATATTTAAGTCGATGTGTATTATCACTTCTCCTGCCGAGGTATAAAAGGTGTTAGCAATTTCACTTCTGCTTAGTTTTAAGCAGTGAAAATCACTGTGAGATCACAATGAGAAAAGTCATTGAATAACATCAGACTGAAATACCCTTTTGATAAGGCATTAATGAGTAGTCAGAAGACAGATGGATAAATCGGTTCAGAAAGTAAAGTAAAGGGGGCTGCATAAATGAATCCCCTTACTGGTTGTTGTATTCTGCAATAAGTTAAGCTATTCTTTTTTTTTTTTTTTTGCTAGTGTGTGTGTGTGTGTGTGTGTGTGTGTGTGTGTGTGTGTGTGTGTGTGTGTGTGTGTGCTAATGCAATTTCACTCTTCCTCCCCTCAGAATCACAGCCAAAAAAGATCAGGAAGGTGCCCCCTGGCCTGCCCTCCTCGGTGAGTGTGAGCATCCACAAACGTTACAGCCCTGAACTATATCCTGCAGTCAGTCCTTGGGAGCCCAAGTTTTCATGTTTTACGCCCCTTTTCACATTCCATTTGGCATCGTAAGCCTCTCCCTGGCTTGCAATAGAATAGCTGCAATACAGGACATCCAGCTCTTACAGCTGTGCATCTGCACCACCAAAGTGGGGAGAAAAAAAAAAAAAAGGAAAAGGGGGAGAAAAAGCCACTCATTCACCCAGTCACTCATTTGCAGCATGTATTTATAGTGTGTTGTATTTGTAGGCCCTTCACTTTATGGCCACATTTCTTCCCCGCTGCCAAGTATACTCGTTAGATCACTGAAGGGAATTCATACTGGGGTTTGATGGGCCTTACTCCACCTCATTTTTTCCCTCCCACTCTCACTCTCTGGGCACCCTATTTCCTCCTCTTCTCTGTTTCTTCCTCCCCCCTCCCCCCATCCTCTCTAACCCCCGCCACCTCCCTCTCTTTCCCGCCGCCTCCCCCCCTCTTTCTCTCTCTCTCTCTCCCTCCCCCATCCCTCTATCCCAGCTGCCAGTTGAGTTGGCTGCCATCCAGGATTCGGCAGATGGTTCAGTAATTAGGAGTGCATCTCTCCCGTTCCCTCTTCTACTCTCCCCTCCTTTTCCTCTCCTTTTTTCTCTCTGTTTAATCAAATTACAGAAGAAAACTTCAGTCCATTTGGATTTGAGTTTTGCAGACACAGTTTGATACTTGCTTTTCGTCTAGAATAGTCTTGATTGAGAATGATATGGTGGTTCAGAACATTGGTTCCTTTATACTCATTATACTATGCAACTAAATCCAACTGCATCTCCCATTGTGTGGCCACATCGCAATGTGGTAAAAGAGTGTGAATTATGTATCTGTAAACCATTTTCAGTGTGTTTCTGTTTAACAGGATAATATGCAAAAGCCCTACAGAGATGGGAGACAGAACCCAATAAAATTACTGACACTGCACATTCAATACATAAAGCTCAGTGTTTCAGTCTGCAGAAATGTTGCAACAGCCTGTTTATTGAATTAAGTAATAAAACCAGATTGTAAAAATAGATTCTAGCCTAGGAAAGAACACATACTTTTAAGGGTTGTGTTTAACAAGGTATTTAATGCATATATCTTTTTTTGTTTGTTTTAACTTTAGTCAGGGTCCTAATATTATTTTTATAGGAAAATTAATTTGCACAAGCGAGCTTTCTTATTAAGTATCTCAAAAGAATGTCATATATGTACTAAGTATCATTCATGCAACATGTTACATACACCTTATAGTTGGTTTACAGTAATATAGTGATTTGTGAATAAGTTTACAAGCACTGAGATTAAGAGTTTCACTCTGTCTTTCTGTATGTCCACTGTAGGTTTATGCACCAGCCTCAGGAGAGGACTTCAACAGGGATAATGCCGGCTATCCGGCCTCCAAGGCAGGAAACGTCTACCCACCACCATTCTACATGCAAGGTCAGTTGAAACAAGAATTTTCCTCAAACTCCCCAAGTTCATTATGTTGGGTTAAAAAATCCAGTCTGAGACACTTGTTGTTATTGAAACAGGTAAACGTATCACACACCTACATAGATAATAATGACTTTCTTTTATAGCCAGTATGGTTGCAAAATTAGCTCCCCTATATTATCTTTATAGAAGTCTGGATAAACCTAGGTGCTGTAGTTGTATGTCAGTGAACACCCCGTGTTGCCTGCTTACTGAATAGTGCATCACAGTTGAATGAAGTCATCACAGTAATTTGACATGTCTCATATGTGGCCTTCATTGTCTTCTCATCTCCCGTGGCTGGTTTTCCCTCGCCCTTCTTGCTCCCCCCTCCTTCGCTGGATGCCCCCTGACAGAAGGCCTCCACCCGCCCTCCGATCCATGGGGCTCTGCTAGGTCGATGGTTCAGCCTGGTTATTCTGCCATGCTGGGCAACTCCCCCCATCTGAGCCAGCATGGTCCCTTCACTGCCATCAACCCCCAAGACAGACTGGTGAGTTCTGCCATCACACTTTAGACTTGTTTTTCTATTAAGGCATAATGAGGTCTTTGACACTTTCTGACTAATGCATCATTGAGAGCTTCTGTCTGGTTGTGCATTTAAATCTTTGCGTGTCTCTGCTTTCAAGAAACGGCAGCCACTGCCCCTCTCTCCCCAAAACTACCCCCTGCATGGCAGTGAGGTGAATGGGGCTCATCCCGCTGGTTTCCACTCTGGCTCCAGCAGCTTCGGAGTCCCCAGCCACACACCCCCTATCAGTGGCACTGACACCATCATGGGTAAACCTTTTAACTTGTGCGCTCTTCTTTGTGAAAAGTACTTCTTGTGTTATATGCATAGGATCTAATTGAAATGCTTTTTTTCTTCCCCAAAAGCCAACCGTGCAGCAGCACCTGGAAGTTCGGGTGATGAAATTGGAAAAGCCCTGGCATCTGTAAGTAGTAATAAATGGCCTTAAATATTATATATTATCATCTTTCTATAGCATAATACATGTCATTAAATTGCATTTCATTTAATTAAAAACAAAAACTTTTGTGTCCAGATTTATCCTTCAGACCCGAACAGTAACACCTTTCCTCCGTCCCCATCTACTCCCTCTGGCTCTCCTCAGGCTGTATCAGGTGAGGGAATAACTCTAGTCATTTTTTCCTGAGGCTTCAAGGTCAGCTGGTGGTTTTGTAGTGTTGTTTGTTCAACACAGCGTCTTTCCTGTTGTGTAAGGGGATGATAAAATCTGACTAAGCCTGAATTGTTCTTAGTGACAGTGTAGCTCCATCTATTGGGTTAAAAGTGGAAGTAAAACATTATGTTAAAACTCTTTACTTTGTGTATTGAAGGATCTTAAATTTCTTATGTGCAAACTCCATCACAATATGAATCAATACTGTCAGTAAAACATAACATATGTTCATCAATTTAAGTTGGGAAGGATAACAAGTGATCATCTTAGCTGTCAAGTCACATGACAATCAGACTTATAAAATATTTAAATTGACGAAAAGGTAGGGAATAAGTACAAAATGTCTCCACAGCATTATATTAAATAAGAGCATGGCTGAGCCTTTAGTTTAGGGTCACCCTTAATAAATCAGATTGTTTTACAACATTTAAATATCCAAGATAGTGGTGTTTTTTGACCTGTGTCACTGAGCTTTTTCTTGTGCTGGCACCGAACAAACATAGAACGGAGATAAGTTTGGCATGCAAGACTATCTTGACATTTAGGTCATCTGATTTAGCCGTAAGGTAGTTGAATTTTGGACAGATTTTAGTAAATAGGTGGGACATTTCTTTCAGACGGTACTTGTGTTCATATTATGTCCGCATTCTTATTGAGGTTTCTTTAATTTAACTCAAAGTAACCCTTCCACAGCTTAACCTTCACTTGATCTCTCAGACACACACACACACACCATCCAAATATAACTCATGAGAGAGGAAGGGAAAATACAGTAAAAATAAAGAGGGTGGGGTTCACTTCCCCATTTGTCTCTCCATGAGTGAGCTCATCACACACTTCATACATCAAATACTGGCGCTGGCACAAGGTGAGAGAAAAAAATAATGAACCCAATTAAAATTTTAATAAGAAAATACCTCACTCAACCTCAATTGTAGTGTTGATTCATACCTTGGCCAAAGTATTCATGAAAAGAACATTGTGAAAATGACATATAATTTTGTAACTTCTGTATCTTCAATACACGTTTCATATCCCCAATCACGTTAGTTTCACATCTTAAAAACATACTGTAAAAAGCACAATGTCTTTCACTCCAGTGTTTCATGTTATGTGCCCATAACCTATAGAAATAATAAAAACTTCCAACGTGTTAATGTAGAGATGTTTCTTCTGAATTTGGTTGGCTTAAAACAGCAAAATGTGTTCATCATATATAGCATTTGACCAAAATGACTCATAAATATATGACCGTAAAGGAGGCCCAAGCTCAAGCCCCAGTTGCATCAGTCATCTACTCAGTAGTGTTGGTGAGTAAGACATGAAAAGCTCATTTCCAGGAGTGCTTCTCATTCACTAATCCAGCACTCACATCTCCCTGTGAACAAGGGGGAATGGATATATCCAATTGGAGGTAAATGGACTATTGTTATATATCCACTACTGTCTGTGGGATGTTCCCTCTGTGTTAATGTGTTAGTATCAGATACGTCTAGAACCCCAATAGATACAGTAAACATTGCCAAATGTGCTCTGTATAATTTTATAAGGAGTTCGGTCTAGACCAGCTCTATTTGAAAAGTGTCCTGAGATAACTTCTGTTTTGAATTGGAGCTATACAAATAAAATTGGATTGAGTTGATTTGATTTTTATTTTTAAAATTTCTTTAGGCTCTGCATCCCAGTGGACTCGGTCCTCTGGCCAGGCTACACCTTCGCCCAACTTTGAGGGTGGAATTCAGTCCATGGTGAGTCAACATACCTTTTTTTTTTTTTTTTATTCTTTTTCACGTGACAGACGTATCAAAAGCTTGGTAAAGTAGATTACAGGGGTAAAAACAGAATGCTACATTCATCATCACCTTGTGCCGTCTCATCGTTCTTCATTCTCCCTAGTCGAGTAAAATGGAGGACCATTTAGACGAAGCCATCAATGTTCTTCAGCGTCACGCCAGCGGACAAGGAGGACCAGGCCTGGCTGAAATGCACAGTCTGCTCTCATCTGGCTTAGGTTTACCTCCAGCCTTCACCAGTGCCGCACTCGGACTGGCCAGTCGCCTGCCAGGACTGGTGAGATTAGTGAAAATCTATCTACAAATGACTGAATGAAGTTTTACTTTTAACATCAAAGTAAACAGTGAGAGTGTTATACAACAAGCTTTTTACATGATAACTGAAACACTGATCATGTTTAAATTGTTGTCCTGAAGATGTCCAGTCACCATGAGGACTCTGGTCTGCCCTCTAGTGGAGGACATCTGCATGGTCACCACGGCCCTGCATCTGCCCAGCCAGGCTCTCAGCCTGAAGGTTTTACTGGTAAGGCTTTCAAGTCCTTTGCACTCCTCTATTTATTTTTCATGTCAGAAAAGATGGTAATACTTTGCCATTATGGACTGTTAAGTTATACTTTTGGGTTCTGTACGTGTATTCAGTATCTTTGTTTCTAAATTTTCTGTGCAGGTTTGCCCGGTAGCCTAAATCGTTCCAGTGGTACTGACGTCAAACGCGAGGACAAGGAGGACGATGAGAACTGCTCAATTACCGACAGGTCAGAGGACGAGAAAAAAGACACGAAGGGCCGCCTCCGAACAAGGTGTCTTTTTTTTCTTTTCTTTTTTTTTCACACGACCTTTATATTAATCTATGAAAGCATAGACATTTCATGGCATATATTCCTGCAGTGGCTTGAGTATAATATATGTCAGGAAGTAGTCTTACAACCTTTATGGTTATGATCCTTTATAGTCATTTTTCAACATAAGTCTATTAAGATCTAAACAGTATACTTAAGTTTGGAAAGACTTCAGTTGTGCCCCAGTTTTTTTTTTTTTTGTATGGTAAGAGAGAGACTGACCAGTTTGTAATACATTCCTGTAATATCTCCCACCCCATCACCACATTAAGGTGAGCAAGACTTAATTCAATCATTTTAGCCACAGCATTTTTATTTATATTCCTACATCTGCTGCTACTGCACTGGTACAACACCTCACTACTTGGAGCTGTCATTTACCCTAAAATTGGAAATGGAGGCTTAAAGAGGAAACTACATAACCAAAATACTTTACTGCATTAAAAATTCCAAAAATCTGAAACTACATATAAGAACAATTATCGCTTAATAAAAAGACCAACTCCTTTTCTAAATCTGACATTTATGAACATCAAATATAAAGGTTTGTGAACAAAAAATGGAAATAAAAGTACAGACGAAAGACAATTTAGTAGTGAATGATTGGAAGACAATCTGGTTTACAGATTTGGAAATTTAAACAAGATCAACACTTCATGAAAAAGGATTTTGAAGTAATAAAATCACAGTTGTAAACACTGCTATGGTTGTCGATCACATTATCTTATCTTCCATTATTCGTCGTACTATTTAGTTACAAACAGACAAATTACTAGGGCTAAAGCCTAATGTGATCCACCTTTGTAGCAGTGTTTCTAATTGTAATTGACTTACTCTAGAATTTTATCAAAACCTTCCCTGTGGTGTTTACATTAGTAGGAAAATTGATTGCACAACAAAATTGGCACGTAATTTTCAGTGAACTGTACCCATACTGTTGTTTCCTTCCCTCCTCACCTGTCATTGGCTCTCCACTAGTCTGGATGATGAGGAAGATGATGAAGATCTGCCTGTGGAGGTTAAGGCTGAGCGGGAGAAAGTGCGGAGGTTGGCTAACAACACCCGCGAGCGGCTACGTGTGCGGGACATCAACGAGGCTTTTAAGGAGCTGGGCCGCATGTGTCAGCTCCATCTGAGCAATGAGAAACAGCAGACCAAATTGATCGTACTGCAACAGGCCGTTAACGTTATACTCAACCTGGAGCAGCAAGTTCGAGGTCAGTGGGTGTCCAGGGAGGAAGGAAGAGGAGGGGAAGGGCCTCTTTACAAAATAAAACTCCCACATGGCTTCACATCCTGGCTCCTGGCATGTCCTGCTATACATTTAAAATATTTTTTAAATCACTCGTGGTAGTTTAATCACTTATGGTGGTGAAGAAGTTATGCCTGCTTAATTCTAGTCAGTTAAAGTATTGAACTTGTAGTGGTCCAAAAAATGATAAACAAGGTACAGACATGGGATAAGGAAATGAAGCTGTGTGACTGTTTTTATGACATGCCCATTCTCCAGTTCATCTTCTAAGGTTTCGTCCTCTTGTAACACATACAGGACTGCTGTTTGTTCTGATGCAGTATGTGTTGCATTGTCTTACAGTTGGCTGTCTGTGAAAATGCTTACATGTCTCTCCGCCTCACTCTTTGACTGGATTAACACGTCTTTTGTGTTCTTGCTTTTTTTCCACTGTTGCCTCATTATGCTTTTTATTAAACTATGAAGTCATTTTAATTTCAAATCAGTTATTTCCGCATTATGATGTCTTCTGCTCATAGCATACTTGTCTGTTCACTGGCACCCCAGGATAGCATGAAAGCAGGGCTGTCTGTTGTCACGCGTATTAACCAGTCTTCAGCTTTGTTGCAGTGTGTCTGTGCTGCATGCTGTAGCCTTTTCAAGCATTAACCCTTTAATTTTGCCCACCCCCTTTTCCGAGACAAACCTTTCCATTTCTCCATCACCCTCCCCCCGTCCTCTGTCATTTTCTTTTTACAGATGGCAACAGTGACCTCTTCCTCACATTCAGACAAATACATCTCCTTCTGCTGATGTATTTAACACAAAGCCCTCAGTCTCTCCTCTTGGCTTTTTCTCTGTGGCTCTTTCTATGTCGGCAGAGGGTGCTGCTTCCTCTCTCTCCCTTTCTCTCTTCCTCCTCATTCCTTTTCTCATTCTGCTGGACAGTCACCATATCCCCTACAACTTCCATCCTGGACCCCAATGACCAAAAAAAAAGAAATATATACATACATATATGTATTTGTTGGTTGGTTGACTTAAAGATTTTATTAGACCTTGTCACTAAGGTCGAATGTTGCATCTTGACCTCCAATATATTTGTTCTTGGCTTGAAATAATTTAGTGTCGCGCTTGCTCACTACCTGATTGAGTATTTGTCTATTCATTTTTAAAAAATATGTATTATTTATCATTTAATATAACACATAAGACACTAGATCTAAGAAAAAAAAACAACCACTGCTCCGCTCACTCTCCTGCAATACAGCCCTGCTCCACTGGGATCTTCTTCAGCAATTCCACTGGTCTTGTCTTGGGCTGAGAGCTTGAAGTTAGCATCATAGATAGACATACTTAAAAGATAAAATGTTTCACAGAAACAGAATGGTAATAGTAAGTTAAACAAAACATTATGGGTTTAAACCAGTACAACTGCAGCTTTAGTGAGGACATCTAGCCTAGGTTCAGCGAGGGTTGTGATTTGGGTTTGTTAACCAGCCCCTCCAACCCCCCCTTCTCCTCCTGGCTGCAGCGTTGTCTCGGTGACTGATGAGAACCTGACTGCCGAGGAGAAGGAGCAGAGGGAGAAGGAGCGCCGGCACGCTAACAACGCTAGGGAGAGGGTGCGTGTGCGCGACATTAACGAAGCCTTCAGAGAGCTGGGCAGGATGTGTCAGGTCCACCTTCAGAGCGACAAGGCCCAGACCAAGCTTATCATCCTGCAACAGGCTGTCCAAGTCATACTGGGCCTGGAGAAGCAGGTGCGAGGTAGGTCAGCCAATACAGGAAGGTCTGATCTACGTAGACAACCAACCATCTCTTATCATAGCTGGACAAAAGGTGCCAGTCATTCACTTATAGGAAAATCTCTTCCTTAATTTTGTTCTGACTTGCATCCACTTTGGCTTTCTCTTTGCTATTTGCCTGTATCACTTTGAAAAAGGAATTGTAAAGCAATGGAGAAGAAAGGGAGAATATCTGAGGAAGTATATCCCTGCTTTTCTGCCAAACACCTGCAGTTCTCATCCTACTTTTCATTTTCCTGCTTTCCTTGCTTTTCTTCCTGTCTATTATTGACCTTTTGTATGTTCAAAACTCTGCTTTAATTTCTTAAAAGATTTCTGAGGTCGGAGCATAATGAGCTAATCTTAAGAATTTCCTCACATACCGTTTTTAAATTATGTATGTGTCCTTTTTTTCAAAGAGCGTAATTTGAACCCAAAGGCTGCCTGCCTCAAGAGGAGAGAGGAGGAAAAAGTTTCAGGCGTGGACCCCCAGATGCAGCTTGGTGGGGGTCACCCTGGTCTAGGAGGAGATGGACATATGTAATTCTAAGGTCAGTCTAAGGAGTCTGTACAGTGGGGTTTCTGGTGTCTGCAATATAATATAAAGAAGATCTATTTAAAGATTGTTTTGCAGAAAGATAATTATTCACTTTTCTCCTTTCTCTTTCAGTTCCTGTTGATTGTACAGCCCTTAGAACACGTGGCCTTAATCTATCATTGTCATGCATCTCAGTGTGTGTTAATCAACTTTTGAAAAGCACACACGCACACACACCTCATAACTGACAAGGCAGGTGGCCACATTCCTGACGATGAATACAAAAGTAACAAGCACACTCTTACAGAAAGAGGAAACATTTATTAATCTTTACACATCAATACTTTGAACCCAGGACGCTGGTTTGGAGACTGTGGAAATTGGACATAAGGACGTTCTTATGATCGTGTTTTTGTAAGACATTTTGAAAAATTGCTTTACACGTTGGGAGCAAAACTTGTTTGGATCAAATAAAACTTTTCGGATCAATTTGCTCGTGTGAGCAGAGGTAGGATTTGTATTGTTGGATAATTATTGGCATTCCCATCTGAAAAAGAGGTCTTACATTCTTCACAAGCAAAGAGGGACACCCAGGTTTATATCTTGTGATTGAACAAAACCTGTTTAAGCATGTTCCTGAAAGAGGCCTAATGCATAGTGTTTGATTGAGATAAAAATAGCCATCTTCATTATCCTCTCATGTGATGACTGAATTACAGACATAGGTTTGGAGACATCCAGCCCCTGACTGGCCAATCGGAGAGCCCGCTTCTCTTTTTGATATGCTGGTAACTGGCTGTATTTTTTGGAATTTCTTGCTTTGGCTGTAAAGGTGCCACAATCGCTGACTCACACACGTGGTGGGTTATTTTTTGTTTATTTTTAACTGTGGATCCCTGAGTCTTATCCCTCTAAGTCCTGTACGTCTGTTTTTGTCACGGCCATGCAAGTGGAATAGAAAGACCGCTGGGGAGAGACCCACCACCGGCAAACGTGAGCAAAGACTCGTTACAAATCCAGGATCCACACTGATGTTGAATCAAATCCCAACCTTCCCTCTGTGAGGCTGCCCGTTGGACTCGAGCATACAGATGTCATCCTCGCTGCTCGCGTCCTTCGCCATCATGAAGTCACTCGCTCTCAGCCTCGGACTCAGCCACTTGGTCAGTTGGGACCTCCTGACTGAAATACAGCCAGTGTAACATCAGCCTGCCCCCGTCAAATCGTACCCGTTCCACTGTTACAGCACGGTGAACTTACTGGTGAATGCAAGTCTCAGAGCAATTTGTATTGTGGTAAAAGACATTTTGCAAGAAGACAGATATAATTGAGTATTGAAAGGGATCATGAGTGTTACTGCTACCTTGTGGAGAATTTACTCAATCGCCATTGACTGACTTGTTGTGGTTGTTGCTCTGTGTTGAGCGTTTGGTGTTTTTGTTTTTTTTCCCTTTTGAACAATTTGCAAAGCCTGTTGTAAGGATCTTCCTTTTTGTAGAATTGATTTATCATTGTTTTTCTTTTTTACTTTGTAAGATAGTTGTATGAGTTTTGTTTTTTCTAATTTGGAATGCTCTTTCTTTTTTTGTTTACATTGTTTAAATGTAAGACGACTCTCAATTTAGATTCCAGGAACAAAGTGAGGTGTTTTCTTTTGTGCCAGGTGCTTAGAAATGTTAGAAATGACAAAATTATCTGGCTGTAACATCACATGTTGTGATATTGCTCTTTTGTTGTTTTTAAAATGCCTGTTTCAACACAAACCTGTCAGGCCAGTTGTAATTGGATTGTTCTGGTGTTTGCGACAGTTTTTTTTTTCTTAAAATGAAACACAATGTTTTTCTTTGGCACACCCCCCCTTCCCTGCCCCTGATGTCCAGCTCTCTGATGAGTTTGTTGATTAATTTGAGGAAAGGGGCAGCGGGGGCGGTCTGCACAATCTGCAACATAGTTTTCTGTTTCATTACGATATGAAGCATAAAATGAATCAAAAAGGGTGGCCTTAGTCATTTTCCTGACTTTGGGAGTTTTGATAATGGTTACTCACCAGTGCCTGAATACTTCTCTGCTACATGGTGGATGATGTTGCATTTGAGGATTTTTAGGTTGTACCTTTTTTATAATACAGATGTATAAAAACATATATACTTCAGTAACATCTGACAACATCTAAATGAAGAGTTACTCATTGACGCAGACTGCTTCAGTGTTCATGTGTCATTAAATGTAAGATGACTAATAACCTGGCCTACAACTTTGACATTGAAAACTGTACTTAAAATTTCTCATATTTTATGAACTGATTTTCTTAAATATAATTTTGTCCTTGACTGGCATGTGCATTGATATGTATGTACAGCTGTATGATCTGTCCTCATCAGCATTACCATTGTAAGCTGGTACTGATATGTAACAGTATTTGGTTTACCTGTAATTTTGTCACAAATCTTGCCCTATGGACTAGCCCCAAACATTATTTTCTTTGTCAGTTACTCTAGCCTTTCTGCAGAAGAACGTGGTGTTGTTGTGACATGAAAAGTTGCTGCTGAAGACTTATTTTCTAACATGAAAGATATGTCTGCAGTATCCAAGTATGAAAACATGCACCTGATGTTCTTTGTTAACAAACCCTTTCTGTCCTCCACAACAGATGAACCTGCTACAGATCTCTCTGTCTTCACTCATGTTTGGGGACAACATCTATGTAGGCTATGTCCTCAAAGTGCCTCCTGTTTCCTATTTTTTATATATAAAGTAGATATCGAGAACTGTTGTGTATATAACAGTAATGTAGCAATAAATGTGCCATTTTTAATAACAAATCCGACCTTTACCCTATGTCTTTTTTCAACCTATAAATGTATATTGTATGTTCTGCAATATCAAGTAGTGAACCAGGGAGATGTTGATGTTTTCAATATTTTATCTGTTTAACTGAGCTTATCAAACTGGGACAGACCAATCAGGAAGTGATGATTTCATAGGCAGCGTGTACCATATCTCAATTAGTCCACTATGGGGCAGAAATGAGCTGCACTGTCACCTCCTACTGCCCATAAAGCACACTGCAATGATTACACATTGCAACTGCATTACAGAGACTCATTAGCAGTCTTGTGCTGGAATACTTCTTGGCTTCAGTTTTTCTGTGAGCACATTAGTATGAGGGAGTTTGAATGAACACACATATATTTAGCTGTAAGTGCAATCTAAACTAAATGAATAAAGAATGCAAATCTTTATCGTCCACTCATGAAAATTAATCTTTGGCTTCATAGAAAGGCATATTGTGCAATAAAAAGTGGAAATAAAACAAAGGGACATGACAAACACAGTTCATACACAGACAGAGAAAACAATAAATACATGGGCCTATAATAATAACAGATTAGGATGAAAGTGCTAAAATAATAACAATAAATGAATATCTAAAATAAACATAAAACCAGCATCAGTCACTAACATTTAATATAACGTAATTTGTTCAGTTGACAAATCCACAGTGTCGATGTGAAGCTCTGGTATAATACAATTATTCTGACACCTGTGTGAGTCAGGGCCTCCTCATTAGATAATAATGCTATTAGTTTTATAAATACATTTTATTGTGGGCGACTTTTATTTTCCTAGTAAGCGGAAGTACTTTGCGCACTTGCGCACTAGGTGTAGTTAGCAAAACTGAAACGGAAGTCTTTTACAGCTTTTAAAGCAGCACGTCCTGTAAAGAGGACACATTTCAGCTAAAATGATCTCTAAAGTAATCGGTCAGAAGTATGTGGCGATTGCCAAATCATGGTAAGATCTCTTTAATATATCGTACTAGTGGTTAAAAAGCCTAAAGGAGTCAGACTTCAGGCTAAAATAATCTTCATGTGTCCTTAGCTAACATTAGCTGTTAGCCTAGCCGAGGTCATTGCTGTGGGGACATGCTAACTTTAGCTATCAGCCAGTTAAACTCAGGCTGAAGATACATTAAATTACCATTTTAAAATAAATGTTGTTTTTTCCTCCTGATCACAGTAAAAAAAATTAATTCATATCTTTATTACCCAGTTTGAACATGTTTAACTTGACCAACTAGCTAGCTTCCTCAGTGATGTCCCCAGATAAGATATTGTTTTCGTTATAGATTAGTCAGAAAGAGGACTTATGCATTCATCATTTAGTCTTCAAGAGTCAGAGATAATATCCAGTTCATGTCCAGTGTTTACTTAGTCTGATGTCAAATATATTAAGCTCTTCACATTTGTATTTGTGAAGCTGTAAATAGCAAATCTGTTGATTTTGTTTTGTTTACAATAAATAAAACAATAGACTGTCAGGATTAAAGTTGCATATTTTTGGCATCCATTTTTCAGTTGTTTCAACACTTTTCTTTTCTGGCTACAAACAAAATAAGAGAACTTCACACAACAAAAACAACTTGACCTCTAGTATCAAGATTTTGAAGAAACATTTTCTCTGGTCCTTTTTTGTTAACTCTGAATGGAAGAAAAACTGGTAAATCTTGACAATGTTCTGTTTTCTACAGGATCCCAACTTTGGCTGTATGGGGCACAGTCGGAGGCGTTTCTCTGGTCCACTTTACAGACTGGCGATTGTTTTTAGATTACGTTCCCTACATCAGTGGCAAATTCAAGAAGGACGATTAGTGGAACTCAGGTTAGTCCAAGGGATGGCAAAGACATGACTGCAGAAATAAGAGTGGAGGATGTGTAACAGCTTGAGATGAATAAGTACACAGTAATCAGAGTCAGGATTGTTTCTGCACCTACTTTATCTTTTAAAATCAGAAACAAGAACCTGACACAAATGCTCTCTAGACATTTATTTTGATGTAGAAAATAAATCCGATGATTACAAAGCAAAATGTTGGGGTATATTCAACGAGCCTTTGCTCTAATACTCCAAATTGGTTAGATTATATATTATTTACCACAAATCCACAGGGTTGAACATGATTTAAAAAGACTCACACCAGTCTACCTGCAGCATTAAATATATGTATTTATTTATTTTTTCAAATTTATAGTGTGATACCCTGGCACCCCTGGTGTCTCTAGCCTGGCATCGCCAGAATAAAGCCCTATTTGCACGAGACTGGTATTACCAGCAGACCTTGTGATTTAGGAATTTGCCTCCTGTCTGTGTTCTGTGCAGGGCATTCACACAGGATAAGCGAAGTCTGTATTTACTCAAATTTACCAACATTAACCCTTGGTTGCCTCGTTAATGAAACTACTACTGTTGTGCTCTGTGTGTGCGCACCTCGTCCAACTAAAGCCACACAAACTCTGATCTTTGTGGTGAAGAAAGCCTTAAACTCTGCAGACAGTTGCTCCCTGTAAAAATAACTCCTGACCATGTGTGTATATATATATATATATATATATATATATATAAGAAGTGTTGCACCATGTTAAGTTCAGCTCTGTTAAATTAACTGGTAAGTTTGTTACCTTGCAAAAAATAAATAATGATCCTAAATCACAGAGATGCGCAAGGGACTAATATTAGCACCTGACCTCTGTGGAAATATGGTAGGCAATTTGCAATGGGATTCTTATTTTACAAATTACAGACATGGCAGATTAGCACAGAATTTGGATCACAGACCCCTGATGCAATTATTAGAAATTACTTGCGGCCCCCAGGTAATGATAGTCCCGTGTGAATTAGGGCTTAATTCGCAAATGCAGAACCAGAGCAAAGGAAACATCATAAGCTCCTCAGATTCATCCAGTTCCCAGGCTCCACATCTTGAGACGTACTGATCTGGTTGATCTGGATGTCGACACAAAATGAAGTGCCTTTGTAAGTGGTGCCTCTAGTAAAAAAAAAAAAAAACCCATCAGGTTACACCATCCCTTTGGTGTAACCTGATGGGTACCTGTGGCGAGACATAGCAGGGACTGGGAAACTGACAGGACTGAGGAAACAGAGTGAAATTCGGGGACATTAGGCCACGTAGTTTAGAGGTGTCAGAAGACCAGAATCCAGGACAGTGGCCTATTTTAAGACCACATGAAGCCGCTTTTAAGACAGGGATGGGAAGGTATTTAGACTGTCTTGTTAAAGTCTAAACTCCATCAAACTCACAGTGTTGTATGTTAAGTGAGTGTTGGATTCTGCTTTTAAAATAAATAAAAAAACAAGTTCACTATTTATGAACAAAAGGACAAATGTGCCTCAAAGTGAACTGCTCATTCTCCTTACCATGTCACTTAAACATGACATTTTTCCTCTGAACTTGTTGACTTTCCATCCATCTTTGATTTATCTATTACAGCCAAATGACCCTCTCTTCTGTACAACCTTATGACTTTGATTTCTCCCGTCAGGTCGGTGCTGTTTTTTACACTAAGACTTAAATATTGAACAAGAACTGCTGCAGAGGGTACCCTGCACTCCGGTCCAATTCCATGCCAGGCCACTGGAAGCTGTCATCTTCATCCTGCAGAGTCAACACTGAACTGTTCACCATCAACATCCTATCAAATGCACTGAAGTTTGGCATTTCAACATTTCTCAACTAGTGGAAATGTTAATGGAAGGAATATGAAAACAGATGAGATGATAAATCAACTTTTCTTTTCCTTCCTAGTTTGGGGTCAGGTATTTATTTGAATCATCTGTGGACTGTGGGTCAAATCTAATTCACAAATGGAAATAAAACTGTTCTTCGTGTCATGCTATAATTGTTTGGAAGAGAAGTAAAATATGTGAGATTTATCCTATATTGTGGTTGTGTGTAATTATTTAACTTGCAATGGTTTAAATCCTGTATTCAGTGGAGTTTGGCTTAACACTGTCGGATCACTTAAGGACATAATTTAAGGACATAATTGCTTTGTTGGTCTAGCCCTTCCTACCATTAACTAATCATTGAAAATATAAACTGCTTTACTTTACAAAAACACTATTAAAGAGCAGCCAAACAATTTGGGGGATTGAATTTAGGTTTAAGATGGTGGAGCTACTTTTATGGATTGTGTATCTGTATAAATAATATTTCAGTGTGGGCAAATCTTACTCTTAAAAGTTGTAAATAAAGGTTGCCATGGAGTTACAGAATTACTGCAATATCTCGTAGTTAATGCAGCTGTAGAAAGATCCCTTTGACTATAAGTAGTAGTGCAATGATGTAAAGTTACTCCATTACCAGTACATATATATAAACATAAAGTTGTATTAAAAAGTACATAATTATAAGCAGCTAACGTTATCATGCAGAACGGACATTTGAGGGTGTTTCAGAGTAACTTGAAAGCAGCATTTTAATGTACTTAGTCCAGTCCTACTACTGTAGGCTACTAATACTACTGTAGTTAGTTTAATGTAAAGAAATGTGTCATTATCTGAGGTTACTATGCAGTATATTAATAATGCAACTACTAAATCTTACAAAGTACCTACAAACATCGGGGATTCAAAGTACCAGTATTGGTTTAAATTAAGTCGAGTACAAGGTACAACCGTATATATATATATATATATATATATATATATATATATATATATATATATATATATATATATATATATATACATACACTGTCAATGGGCACAAATAAATACCTCAAAACTGTACTTAAGTGTTATACTTACGTAAATACAAGTTTTATTTAGTCAAACTACTAGTTGTAGTTCAGTAACTTCCCACCTCTGACAGTGTGTAGTTCAAACCACGTGAGATCCGGAGCGTCCTTTTCGGACTACTTTTACACGAGCATGGCCGAAGTCTACGCTCACAAGGCCGGCGGAGTGATCTGCTGTTGTACACGTCCTGACGGGAGACAGACAGCGGGGATCGATCGATAAC